CTATAGTTGGGAGAATTCCTCGAAATAATTTTGATTGTATTCGATTATTTTTTCGACGCATAGCTTTTTTAAGTTCATGTAACTTAGGATATTTTGCACGATAATCAGTTAAAACTTCTTTGTAATAATCAGCATGCTCTTTTAACCAATTATGTGGCATTTCTCCGAAGAATGGCAGAGGTTGTGCATCGTCACCGCAACAAATTACCTGGCATTTATGTTTTAATAAATAATTAATAAACATTTCAAGAATATGCTTAGAAACTATACATACCTTATCCCAAATAACAACTTATGAAAATTTTTTCTTTCCCATGCGTTCAGATGTCTACTCTTCCACTCCATTCCATCTGAAGAAACTATGCCAGGTTTGAGCTTTTACATCACGTTTTTCTCAAAAATCTTTAGCTAATGCATTTGTATGAGTAAATACAACCATGTTTATATTTTTGAAAATTCGAATTGCGCACGTTGTTTTTTCTAAACCACCTCCTCCATTAAGATATGATTTCTGATATCTTGTAATAGGATCATAAATCGAGGGTGCTGTACTTTCAGAAATATTTTTGATCGATTCCCAATGTCTATTCTTTGGCCAGTATACAATATCGATAATTGGTCTATATATTTTTTCACCTTTGTCATGCCATTGATCGGGTTGAATTTCTCGGATTTCTTGTTCTTTTGGTTGATGTAAAAGAGCATAGGAGTCTGGTCTATAAAACCATTCTGCAAAGCAAAATCTGCAAATAAATGGTTTATATCTTTTACAGTCATATTTTACTAGAGGCGTTTTGGTTTTTTGGAACTCTTTAATCCATTTTGCATATTCAGATTTTGAAATAAAGAATTCTTCTGGATCAGTACACATTGCACAAGAAGGATAGTGTGAACATAAATTTGGATCTGACTTTACCTCAACTTGCTTGAAGAATGCCGGTATATTTTCGATCTTATATAAAGCCTCTTTTCGTACATATATAGAATCTGTAACAATCTTTACTACTTTATTAGAATCAAATCTCCGAAGCATCTCTAACAAATTAATATGCGCATATGCTAACATTGAGGCCCGCAAATGTGTATATTGGGGTTGATGTCCCTTGTAATATGTAAGTATGAATCCGAGTGAACATTTTTCTCTTCCGGCAAAAGTTCTAGCATCAGTACAATCTTTGATCAAGAAATCAAGCTCACCTTCATCTGTTACAAGTCGATGAGTAAGGCGTTTTTCATCAATCTTGCCACCTTGTGTAAACTTACCTATAATTGCACAACTAATATCTCGATTTCTAGGTAGCCATACTTTGGTCTGTTTAGTAAGAGAAATTATTGCCTCTCCAATAGTCACACTTTCTAGAATACCAACCTCAAGAAGATATCGTAGAAGTATAATAGATGCCCATCCTTTTGCTTTCCCACATCCTTCTCTACTTTGATACGCAAAATGTTTTCTGTACCAGATGGGAATCGCTGAATGTATATTTGATGCAAATTTAAAAGATCTTACCTGTGCAAATCTAGTGATATCATCCTCCGGCAATTCTCCATTTACTGCAACTCGAACAAGGTAGTGTGATAGATGTCCAAACCTATTGAACCATGGTGTACATTCTCCTTGACCTTGCATACTTGCTGGATAACATTCTTTCATATCGATACATACGACATCATTGACGTGATAATCAGGTGCATTCCAGTATCCACCATGCCCATGCTCGACATAGGCTTGCCTTATATTTTTATTTACTTTTCCAAATATTGGATGCCATTCATTGATTTCATTAGCGAGTCAGCTTCCAGTATGGTTTGCACCAAATACCTGCTCTGCTAAATCAACAACTTTTAGAGACTCTGAAAGAATCGATTTCTTTTCTTTATTGATTATTCCTTCCTGATATTGCCAATCTATTGTATCATTGACCAGTTGTTTGCATGCTTTTATAATTTCTGTATGCTTTTTTCATGTTCTAAATATGCGACCATCTTCTAGAACAAATTGGAATATTGTTTGACTCGTATCCCTCACTCCCATAAGCCAGATTGCTTGAGGTCCTCTGAGGGCATTACTGATAGCTTCTCATGTATCACCCTTATAATATTCGACCATTCGATCTCTTGGAAAGTGCTAGTTTCTTGGAAATACATAGCCATTATGAACTACCATTCTGATTTCTTCATACTTACCTGATCGATACTTTCCACTATTAAATATAGTACCATGAGTTATATCAAGTAATTTAATCAGTCGTTTAAGAATTTTTTCTAACTCTGCTACATCTTGTACTCGAGCACCTGGAATGCGTATTTTTTTCTCCCAATCATTTATTTTTTGCCGACAAATTTCTGTGAGTCCATGCCCTCGCTTAGTGTTATCAAAATGCTCTATTACTCATTGAGCTATACAGTTAAATGCTCTATCTTTCATAGGTATTAATCGATTGACATCTGGCTTTCGGATTCGATATAATCCATAGATTACTGCATTACTATCAAGTCTTTCTATATCAATTGTACACTGACTTCTCTAACCAGAAATTTTTTGTCTATTCCTAGCCAAAAGCCCAGTTTCGTTTTCTTTGTAAGTATAACATTTGGACCACTTCAGACATATTTACCACCTGCTTTTTTTGATTCACGAATAGGCTCATATTTGTTAATAATTTTAAAGCCTTTTTTTGTTTTCTCAACTGATATTACTGTATCGTCTCGAATGAATTTTACTCTTATTAAATACTCATAATTATCAATTGTATTTAATATTCTTTGTGCTCGCTCTTCAGTCATTCCAGCTTCGATTTTTTTTGATTCTATTTGATCTTCCACATATCTCAACCAGTTTTTATATCTTTTATTTACTGCCAATTTTATAGTTTCATTGATTTTTTTTTCTGAATAATTACAATATAGGCATTGTAAAAATAGCTTCTGTATAGCTTCATCTTCATTTTCGAATGCTCTATAAGCATCTACTACCAATTTTATGATTTTATTGATTTCTTCTTCTTCTGAATAATTCTGATATAGGCATTGTAAATATACCTCCTGCATAGCTTCATCTTCATTTTCTGCTCCTAATATTACACTAGCCAAATCTATCTCTTTAGCTTCTGTAAACCAGGTTGAGAAAGTATATTTGGCTCTATCTACTTTAAACATATTCTTTGCGGTTTGAATTCCATTTTGCTATATTACACGATACTCTTTATTATATGGAAATCGAACTGGCCATGGTACTTCTACATCTAAATCTAGAAATCCTTCTTTGTGAATAGGCAATTCTTGAACAGGTTGCAATTCTATCTTATCTAATGGTGTGGTTTGTTGAGTTACTATTTCTTCTGATTTAGTAAGTCTACCTTCATGATGAGCTTGGGTACGAGGGTCTGGACCAGCTTCAGGAGAGGCATAGCCTCGAGTCTCTGACTCATTAATTTTTGGCTATACTATTAGAGATGTTTCATGCTGAAGATTTGCTTTCTCGATTTCAGGTTCATCAAAAAATCTTTGCTCTTCATGCTTTTCTTCTTCTGTTGCAGGTCGGAAATATGCATTTGGATCCAGTTGCAATAATTCATCATAAA